GAAACGCACCAGGCTTGCCTGTGCGATCAAGCGTTTCTGCACCGGACTTGAAGTCCTCAGGTTATTAACTACATGAATGGTTGTTGCTTTACACCTACCTTCTGCGCTTACTACTATAAATTACCATAAATTTTGCATAAAGTAAATGAACAATTTCCGTTTAACGGTCGTTCTTTGAAAGTGAGTTAACTGTTCAGTGAGCAATTTTTCCGCCAAAACTTTTAAGTGTCCATAAGTGAGAATCACGTATACTTGAAGACTCAATTTGAAATATTTAAGTTGTACTTTGACAGGGAACAATCCCCTAAAATTTCAGCTTTCTAGCTTTTCTGGTTCCCGAGTTAGTAATTTTCCCACCAGAAATTTCATACACCCTTATGTGAGTAGTACGCATAACTAGAGGCTGAATTTGGAATTTTTAGCTCACGTATAAAGAGGGAATACCTCTGCATAGTTTCAGCCCCTTACCTCGTCTGGCTTCCGCGATCGCTTTCCCGCCAAAAAATTTGTACTTTTTTTTAAGACGCCCGTACGCAACACCCAGGCGATGATATTAAAAAGGGAAGGTCGCGCATGGTATTGGCACATACTTCCAAAGTTTCAGCCTTCTAGCTTTTCTGGCTCTCGAGTTGAAAGTGGGCGACAAAAAGTGCGAGCACACAGACCCACAAAGCCTCTTGCCGATATGCGTTTTTGCAATTTGCACATGTGCAAAAACATATAAAAACCGAAAGAATGTGGAAAAATTGAGCGGCCAGTGATGCTAACTAGAAAGTCTGAATGGAGCTGTAATAATGGAGGGGCGACTGATTTTGTGATTATGGCTTCATTGCTGTAGACTGGATGTGTTAGCAACAGGATAGGTAACAGTGTCAAGTCAACTTCGTCAAAGTACTAGCACAGTGTCAGTGAAGAAACCTTGATAAACAATTCGCAAAGATTCACAACGAATTCCGCTTCACCGACATTATAAACTTCTACGCCCGAGTCGCCAAATGTTGCACAAAATGAGGCATTTTCTCGGGATTTGGTGTCCACGAACACTACAGTATCAGTCAAGGCATTCGATACGCAGAGCTCACATGTCCCTAAAACATTTTTCAATCATCTTTTTTACAATTATGTCCGTAAATTTGTTTCACATTTCTTTTGATTGTAAGTGAAAATACACGCTTTTTGATATACATTCAAAAACGAACTAGGATGTCTGGAGAAAAAATGATCGGCAGCAACGGCGGGATTCTGAGCCACAACGGGAAGGCATGCTTCAGCAACCCCGTTATTCGCACATCGAAGTTTACTGTCGTAAAATAAAGTACTGCTAAGCTCTGCAATTGGCCTGAAATTTAAAGAAAATAGAAGGTGAAAATTCCAAAAACTGCAAGTTTTTTTTCGAAAAGGCTACTTGGAACTGCGAATTAAAAATCGGAATGTCAAAAATTAAACGAAACCTATTCATGCGATATTGTGAACAGAGTGTAATAACTGCTGCTTGATGCACTTGCAACCGTTCCAGTAGCGATTTCGCGAATCCCTCTCGTCTGAAAAATCAATCTCCCTTTAAAAATCGCACAGCGGCCCATGGTATTTCTTGCATACGGGGTTATGCCTTCCAGAAAATCCGACACCAGCACTAATCTAATCGTCATACAATAACGCACTACCCGCAAGAAATATACCATGGCAGACTGAGAATATCTTGCATTAAATTTCGCAGACTTGCAGTTAAAATTTAAGTTTAATCAAAGAAAAGTTCCCCTCTTTCTTGAAAAAAGAATTGCTGCGTTTCCGGAAAAAGCGTTTTCGAAGAGAAGCTGTGAAGATTTGCGCAGCTGCTGCAGACGACAATAATTTCGAGTCACTGTCAAATTTGTGGATGTTTCGTGCGGTGTGAATTTTGCAAAAGACAAACCTGAGTTGCTGGGAACGAACAAGCGGCGTGAGTTGCCTGTGGTCGCCAACAAGCACGAAAACATCCGCAGCAGCAACTGCCGGAATAGTGGTCGGCTCGAGCACTAGCGATGCTTCGTCAACAAGCGTCATTGAGAAATGGCGATACGAAAACAAGGTATTCCTGGCCACTCCCAAACATGTGCATGCCACAACAGGCTGAAATGCGGTTTTTGAACAGAGCAATACATAGAAAACAACGTGATTGTAATCTTTTGCGTTGTAAACTATAAAAATTTGATGCTGAGGCCACTCAAACATGTGCAAATATCCCACACTAGCGATGTTACTAGGACGCCTCCATATGCAGGAAGTAGCGGCTGCCGAGCCCATCAGTCCAGATATTTTTAACGGGAAACGATTTCGCCAACCAGCTAAGCTAGGAAGCTCTAATTTTAAAACGATATTCTGCACCTATGTGCAACCGAAAATTTCCAAATTAAGCTTTAGGCCGTGCTTGAGCCCATAATTGAGAGTATGGTTTGAGACACTGCTGGCACCCAAATTAACTCATACTGAGCAGAAAGCAGTACTTTTCTGAGGACGTCTGCTGTTATTGTTCAGACCAATAAGGTACGATCAACTTTTACTTAGACATGGGTCCTGCGTACAGGCCGCATCAAATATTCAAACTGCAACACCGCAATAGTACGAGCGATCTCTTTACAGGACAGAATCATGCAAAAAAATATGGTTTCTAATTTTAAACTGACTTTTTAGATTTATATTTATTTGTTTAAAAAAAAATTCAATTTTTATTCATATTTTAAAATTCATTGCGATAAAATTTAGATTTACTTACCTGCTAAAGAAAAAATCTCCGTACAACTAAAAAACATACAAAAATTAACAGAAAGGTGAAAAAACAAAATATTAAATGGTCACTTTAAAGGACAGTCATATTACAGCTAGCCAGCTATGTGAATTATTAAGGCAAAAGATATGCAGTATTACTGTGTTGGTAAGTATGGCATGCATTCGCGAAA